TTCGTTTTGTGCTGTCCCGTTGCGCCGTGGAAGTGTCGCCACCTTCTCGCGTTCTGGCAAGTTTACTTGAACTTGCAAACGTGAAACAAATGGTGCGTAAACCTGGGGAGGGACGTAAAGGGCGAACACGAAATTATTGCGACACATTCAACAGGGCATAACTTTTTACCATTGGGTAAAAATCAACCAAATTTTGCACACTTTCTCATTGATGTGTATTGTGTACATGCTGTCAAACTCGAAGTCGTGTTTTTCGATTCAACGAAAATGGAGGTGAACCAACGCGAGTTGAGAGAACAAATTCTTCCCAAACCCTGGAATTTCCTGATCTGTCGCACCGGCAGTTGGGAAAAATGTTGAACATTCACCATTCAACCGTCTCCAGAGTGTTGAAGCGGTTCTAGGAGCGGTTGACGTTGGACTACGGCAAAGGAGCTGGAAAAAACCGGGACCGGAGAACAAAAAGACGAAGGGAAAGGTGAAGCGGATGATTAAAGCAAATCCCAACGTCTCAAGCCGTGATTTGGCTAAAAAGATCGGCATGTCGCAGAGCTACGTCCAGAATGCAAAGAAGAGAGCTGGACTACATACATACAAGGTACAGAACTTCCCAAACCACGATGAGCGGCAACAATCGACGGCTAAAACTCGGGCACGGAAGCTCTACGAGAAGATGCTGACAAAATATGGCTGCTGTGTGATGGACGACGAAACGTATATAAAAGCCGATTTTAAGCAAATTCCGGGGTTGGAGTTTTTCACCGGCAAGAGTAAGTTCGATGTGGACGACAAATTTAAGAAGAAGAAAATGTCAAAGTTCGCCTCCAAATATCTCATTTGGCAGGCCATCTGCTCTTGCGGACTGAGGAGTGAGCCTTTCGTGACAAAGGGCACAGTGAATGGCGAGATCTACAAATCTGAGTGCCTCGAGAAGCGCCTTTTGCCGTTCTTGCAGCAGCACGACGAAACTCCGCTATTTTGGCCAGATTTGGCATCATGCCACTATTCTAAAAGTGTCCTGGAGTGGTATGAGGCCAATTCTGTCCATTTTGTTCCAAAGGACATGAATCCGCCAAACTGTCCGGAGCTGCGCCCGGTGGAGCAGTACTGGGCAATAATGAAGCGGGAACTTCGGAAGAGCAAGAAGATAGTCAAAGACGAGAAGGACATGTTAAGAAAATGGAAAAAAAAACTGAGAAACTGGTACCGGATGGCACTGTAAAGACTTTGATGGAGGGCATCAAGCGAAAATGCGTTCAATTTTACACTCAAGGCTCCATCGATTAACTTTTCTTTTGATTCTTGAAGTAAATATATGTATAAAACTACCCTAAAATTTTGGTTTGATTCTAAACATTATAAGAAAATTGGTATGACATTTTCGGTGTCGCAATAATTTCGTGTTCGCCCTTTACTGTCAAATCAGCCTACTGATCATTCTTGTATGAAACTGGTTCCAAACGTAAACAAACGGTGTAGGTTTCTTATGGCTTGTTTACGTTTGGAACCAGTTATCCCAGTTATGCAAGGTAGGCGACGATTGTTCGTATTTGACAGCCACCTCCCCCCTTGGCGTAAACGTGCCAATGAGTCAGCAGCGAGCCCTTCAAAGAAGGTGCTAAGCAAGCCCAGCACGTCGCAGGATGACGCCGGAAAACGAGTACTGCAAGCCAACCAGTATGCAGTACTCCCAGAAGAAAATGGCGATGGTGACGCCGTTCCCATTGCAAGAAGAGAGCGGATTCCCCCGCTTTTCACGCCGATCAAGAATGTTGCCAAGCTGGGTGCCGAACTGGCAAAACACAAGCTGCTGCCCCGCTTCAAGCTTTGCAGCATTGGTACCAAAATCATGTGCTCCATGAGTACAAACAAATAGGATGCTTCCTGAAGGATAACAACATGGACTTCTTCACGCAAGATCTGCCATCGAGCAAGCCACTGAAGGTGGTTTCACGTGAGTTACCGTCGTTCTAGGCGACTGCGGTGAAATCCGAGCTGGAACGGTTTTGGGCTCAAGCCTGAGGCAGTGTACCCGATGAACCGGCGTTCGAACCACAACACCAGCTTTCGTGGTCAGTTATTCCTGGTGCATTTCACGAAGGGATCCACCAGTCTTGCGGCTCTGAGATCCAAAATCCGGGACCTGTTTCAGGTCATCATCAGTTGGGAGCATTACAAACCCCAACATCGTGATGTAACGCAGTGTATGAACTGCCTCTAATATGGCCATGGCACCAAAAACTTCCACATGAAGACAAACTGCGGCAAGTGTGCTAGAACTCACTCAACTGCGTCATGTGAGCAAGCCGATGACATCGAGCCAACGTATGTCTACTGTGGTGGAAACCACCAAGCCTCCAATCGCGGATGTCCCAAGCGAGTGGAGTACATTAATATCCTTCGGAAGGCCACAATCAACAACCAGCTCGGTCGCCTCCGTAATCATCGTTCGCCTCCTGTACTCACGGAAGTCCAGTACCCAGCTCTCCAGCCCCGTCGACATGTTCCGAACCTACCCGAGTAGCTCACTTCCCTTAAGAAAAGTTGCAGCAAATTGTTTATGACTGAAATAAGTCGTAAGGAAGTTTCTACAACCGATATGTGACATGCGACTAGGGTAGCCCCGCTTCCGCTCAACAAGCAACACGCCAATCCTGCGAGTATCCAAATGGTTCCCACCAGTCGGACAGTTCAGCATCGTCTCGCTGCTGCTGCGTCCTAGCCAATTCCAGGTTCATCCACCGCCCCTGGTTTATCATACGCTGGTGCTGTCTCAGGTGAATCTGTCGACGATTCTCCGTTTACCTCGGAGGAACTTGTGACGCTCGTGGCCTTGGTCATCATCATCATGCGCACATGCAAAACTCGATCTGAACAGCTACACGCTGCCCTGTCCCTTGTCACTAAATATGGACCGTGAAGCCATCATCGTAATTTGGAATGCTTGCTCCTTGTTCGAGATGATTGGATTGGAAATATAACAAATAGACTTTCCATCTCGATGTATCGATGAACTCAGTTTGAAATTTTGTTCATAAATAAAAGATATGTTCGTATTTTGTTCACTTTTTAATGAAAAAAAAAATAAAAAAATAAAAGCAAGGATATTATAATATTTTATCATAGGATTGATTTCCTCAGGAAATAGCCCAAGTAACCATAAGCTCCGATAAAACACTATTTGTGGCTTAAGCAGCTTGATTGAAGGTGGTCTATAGAATTCTAAACAGCCTCATTTTTAAGTCGTTATAAAAAATTGAAAGTTCCGGTACCATAATTGAAGAGCATTCTAAGCAGCTTCTGGTGGAGCTTGAATGGAACTTTTAGAAAATAAGTTAAAAAAAGTTTTTTGTTCTCAGGCCAATTTTTTATTGTTCGCACTTTTATGAAAGTTATTTCTATAGGCAGGGACGAACGTGTACTGATTTATCAGAATTAATTATTAGTTTTGGAGCTGTTTGAAGAATTAAACCCGGTCCTTCTGGGTGAGCGCCTCCGGCACGAACCGCTACGTCATCTGATAAATATTAAAGTGAGCTGCTGTCCCGCCTACTGTTGGAGTTCTCAGTGCCAGCTGGGTTATGACAGACCTTTATAGAAACTTGCAAGTTGCTGAGAAGTTCCGCAGGGAACTTTTAAGATATTTTAAAGTTGCTAAGAAGTTCTGCTGGGAACTTGTTCGGAACTTTGTTTTCAGCCTGGCCTGAAGTTCCTCAGAAGTGCTTAGGGATGCTTTTTGGAACTTTTTTTGAACTTCAAGTTGCTAGGAGTACGCATCGGAACTTTATAGAATTTGAAAGTGGGCTTTATCGTTGAATACGGAACTTATGGTTGCTTGAGAAGAAAGTTCTGTCGGATCTTTATTTGAACTTTATGGAACTTGCAAGTTCTGTCAGAACTGTATTCGAACTTTATGGAACTTGAAGGTTTTGTCGGAACTTTATTTGAACTTTATGGAACTTGGAAGTGAGTTTTATCGTTGAATGCGGAACTTTTGGTTACTTGGGAAGGGTGAAACCAACAATTATTAATTGAATAAACCTCTTAAAATCGGTTCTTGCTTGCTTACAATTTCTATATATCCTAATTTTGAACTTCACCAGATGATATCCCTATGTCTGACTTCTATTTATGATCAGCATTTTGTAAGAGAATTTAAATTCGTAAGACGTCAGTTGGATAAATTCTGGTTTTTGCAACATGAAGCACCCTACACAGCACATACAAATTTCCCGGATATTATGATTGAAACGGAAAACTGCTCACAAAATAAATGCTCAAACGGTATTCAACATCCCAAAGCCATCACCGCCATTGCACATTTCCTTCCGGGTTTATTTTATAAAAGCGACCACTAGCAAATTGTATTGCATCAAATTCACTTTTCGTTCCTAACCTCGTAATAGTTTTGCTACTGCCGGTGCTCGAGCAGTCCGATATGCTTATCATCCAGAAGACAAACAGAATGCAAACGCCATCCTCCGACCGTCCGACTGATATCCAACGCCAAGGCCAAAGCCACACACGGAGATGGAGCGCCAGGATGCAGTATTGCAGATTCTGAGAGCGGGGCACTGTTAGATATGCCATTCTGCGGTTCGCTTTCTAGCCACAAAGTGTACATCTATTTAGTTCTACATGCACGGCAGCCAGACATCCACAGCAGACCTGATGCTCAGGCTTCTGGTGGGACGAAGTGGTTCTATTGCCGGTTGCCAGATATGGAGGGAACGTGTAAATATTTATGGAAGGATTATGTGCATGCGGTGTGGGAGGTCTAGAGGGACTGACCGACTGTTGGCACGGAAATTGGGGCTTTGCCTTTCTGAAATGGTCGATAAAATGAACTTTTGCAATTTGCTGGCTCGAGATCAAAATTCATTGGGATTTCCACGAGGAAGATGATTGGATTATGAATGTGTGAATTTAATAATGCTGTCGATCAGTTTGGGTGAGAAATGGGCATTTAGACGTTCTTTCCAAGGTAAAACAGCTTACGGTTTACATCGAGATGCTAGCTATAAACATGTGTCTGTATTCTGCCTTCAAATATATACAAAAAATATTACCATCAATATGAACATTCGTAAGCTTTGGTTCGGTCTCTTATTCGTATGAATCTTACATCTAAACAATCTAGCCTAAATCTGTTGTACACTGTAACACTCTGTAGCTGCCTGTCAAATTCAGACCTCTCAATTCGCAATTGTATATGGCCACACCAAAATCCTATCTAGGCCTGACACTTTAAATCTATTCACTGATCACACACGCCACAATTTCAAACGTTTTGCATATCGAAAGAGTAAATATTTACACCCTCCCTGAATTTCGCCTCCATCAAGTACCTGCTGCATGTGAAAACTCCGTTTTGCTAAATGACTGTATTTACCCTATCCAACCGACTAAGCTTAAACATTTTCCATTTCAACTTCTGTTAGCGGATGAGATGAAATTCCATCCGTAGACTGTCTGTTACAAAATACTATTTACTCTTGCCTCTTATTTTTCTGTACTCTTCCCTAATCCACAATTGTTGAACAAACATACTAGTCTACACAGAAGATCGTTGTCGGTGTCGGTGTAGCAAATATTAAAAGTTGTCTCCACAAACAAACAATCACCCAAATAAAAAATGAAACCATTCTCGATGACGATGTTTGTTTTGGAATTCAATTTAATTGGAGTTTCCGACGTCGTTCCGGTTGCGTCCATTTCGTCTAAACCGCACACAATTATCCAAGTTATTTCGTCGAAGTTTTCCCGGGCAATCCCGACGGAGTCTGGCGTACACAAATTTGGCCATCTCCGCTCAGTTGTTGTTGTTGTTGTTGTTGTTGTTGCTGTAGTTGTGGATGCTGCTGTGCCTTCTTGGTGGTGCTAAGCTTTTCATTATCACGATACTGTACTCCAGGGTGCTGTGAAGTGAATTCGGTTTGGTTGGTCCAGTCCGGTGTCCGGTGTCCGAGTCCGAGTTGGTGGTCGAAGCCAGCAAATGGAAAATGCAAAAAAGATATGGAAGAAAGAAGAATATTAATTGCTACGTGCTGATGATCATTACAGCTGTTGCTGGGGAAAGGGAAGTGAAATTGTGTAGTGTTTGTGGGCTGTCTGTAGAATTGTTACGATTTGGTAAATTTAAATGTTGGGTTTCGTGTTATTTAAATCGCTTTATTACGCTATTGCTTATGTCTATCGTTTAGCTACTGACACATTAGAAACAATGCTGCCATAGTGAATTTAGAGCTGGTAACTCACTGATTTTTCAAATGTGCGCTACCCGTCCATCGCAAATCCATGCGCCCCTATCAGAAGCACGGGACGGGATTTCACAAATTTGACAGTACCCTCTTAACTGGTCTATAAATTGATGGCCCATAACAAACTTGAACAACATATGCGTTGGTTGTAAGTGTGTGGGTGAAAAATAGCAGGCAACATCAAAATGCTGGCATATCAGCCGTTCAGAAGCGACCATCATTGTAAAGCTCAATTCAAAGTAAATCTGGACGCACGGTTTGACACACCACCGCGCCCCTGGTGGTTGGAACGAAAAACATGTGACAGGCATTTGTTGATGTTTCATTGACGAAGAAATTGGCGAAAAGTTTTTCTCGATTGATCGACGCATCCCGAAATTACGGATCATGGAACTTGAGAAAAGAAAATTAATTGTGCACAAACATCTAGAGAACCCTTCGTGGTCTGCCTCAAAAATAGCAAAAGTGTTCAAATTCCCAGAGTCAACGGCGAGTCTTGTAATCAAACGTTATAAGGATACTCTGAGTGTTGATAGAGCACAGCGCATCTATCATGAAAGTAGCACTAGTGACAAAGAGCTGACGAGAAAGGTGTTGAGGTACGTGAAAAGCAACCCAGGTGTCTCCATACGTGATTTGGCAAAGAAATACGATTCCAACTTTTCCACCGTGCGTAACATCCCTTCAAGAGAAGGATATGAGTCTTTTTGTGCCAGTAAACATCCGAATCGCTCCCTGAAACAAAATTTAGTGGCCAAAAAGCACGAGCACGATTACTATACGAACGAGTTCTGACGAAATTTGATGGCTGTATTTTAATGGATGACGAAACATGTGTCAAAATGGATAATAAACAAATCCCCGGACGAAAATTTTACCTGGCAACTGGTCGTGGGGATGTCCCTTCCAGGTGTAAATTTGTTTTTGCTGATAAGTTTGCTCGGAAACTAATGATTTGGCAAGGAATCTGCAGTTGTGGCCTTAAAACCAAGGTTTTCATCACGTCTCACACAATGACGTCGAAGGTTTACATTAAAGGGATTTTACCCTTCATTCGGCAATACAACACCAACGTTATGTTTTGGCCGGATCTAGCCAGCTGCCACTACTCTAAGAAGGTACTAGAATGGTATGCTGCAAACAATGTTAATTTCGTCGCCAAAGAGATTAATCCTCCGAATTGCCCTGAGTTCAGACCGATCGAAAAATATTGGACAATTGTCAAGCGAAAACTTTGAGGATGCAGTAAAGAAGTGACAAATGCACAACAAATACGTTTAAAGTGAAATAAGTTTGCCGGTACAGTGTCACCAGTGACTGTGCAAATCATGGTGTCATCGATCACAAGTAAAGTGCGACAGTTCGTTTGAAACGGTGAAATGTAATAACTTGTTATATATCGTTTAAAAGCTGAATAAATACCCTTTTACTTGACGTTTTGATCAACCGTGTATGTTGTTTAATTCTTGAGTTATGATCACTTGAATGCGTCCAAATTTACTTTGAATCGGGCTTTAATTGTCTTCTTCCTGGCTTCGGAGCTCTTACACGAGCCTTCGCCTGTTCTCAACATACACTTGATTTTTCATATGCACAATCACATTTATTTTAACTGTGTTTCACCATGGTTCAATGTGTTATGCACGTTGATTTCTTGTGTTTGAAACTTTGACATGTTGATAATCTTTCTCTATCAATTTAAGTGCATAGCACAATGAATCACTCTACTGTTCAAAACAGATGGATTTGACGTGTTTTGCATTTCAATGCGATGTGAATTGCTTATTCTGTAAGGTAAACATCGTGACAATGTACCTCTCTAACGTCGGGTAAGCCGCGAGTATTCGGCCCAACTCCTACTAGACATAGAATTTAGTGAATTTTGTTACAAACAAAGAACAATGAACTATCGGCTCCGTAAAGCTAACGCGAATGAGCCTTCCAAATAAACGACCTTGTTAATAAGGTAAACATCGAAAACATGAGTTGTGACTTCATCCTTACTAACCAGCTTCATATATGAGAACAACCGTGGTCCAGTGAGATCGAACGAAGACAACTGCAGCAGCACACCCCAACAGTCCAATTCCCAAATCAAATCCATCAAGAATGGCAAATTTTGACATTTTTGCTCCACAGCGCTCATACGGTTCAAAATCGGGTTCTGACTAGCCTCCCAAAATTTGAACTCATTCGATAAGAAACTGACTTGGCACAACCCATTTGAAATTTACATGGGAATTACTATGGGAAAACCAAATGTTTTGTTCATATCCATCTAACAATTTACCATATTGCTCTGCTTTAAAAACTACAAGGGACACCCTTTTGGGGTTGTACGCAATGGTGACGTAGGACTACGTGGTCTTATATAATAAATCTTATTTGTTAACTGCATCTGGAGCTTGTGTTTTAAGTAGGAATAGGAATTTGAGCGTGTATCTCTGTTTTTACTCTGTAGTATAACGCGCTTGACATAAATGGCCCACAGCAACTCACGAGGAGCTACTGATTCCGATCAATAGCGGTCCGGCTTCTTCCTCCTTCTATGGCTGCTCATGTGGGCTGCAACTCGCTGCTTACAGGTAGCCGTTCGTTTTGTACTGGAGAACATCACCACTCACCACGCGGTGATTGAATAAACACCGTTTGGTGAGTCCGGATCGAATTCAACTTTGAAATCTGTGTTAGGGAAATCGCTGTGCGCAAAGCAATCGGTGATAATTTTAATTATCAAAGCAACAGTTGCACATGCAGGCAATTTCCAATAGTGACATTTTGAAAAATGAAAAAAGTCTTAAATTTAACGGTTGCGTAGAAATATATCTGATCGATTAGTGATGAAATTATTGAAATTGGTCCAGGGGCAGCTAAGTTATTAACGTTCAAAATCTTTCATAATTTTGTTACATGTTCCATTTTCGGTTTTCACAAAGTGTACCCCCATATAGAAATCACAGACCTAGTCCTACGTCAAGATGATAACTGAGCTCGTAGCAAATTTTCCCAGCTACAACTTTGTCCAAAACCACTTTTCAATATAATGTAAGTATCAAAAGTTATCAATAATTCAAGCAACTAAATGTCTTATGATTATGCTCAATCAAGTGTTCAGCAGGCAACATTGGTGTTTCTGGTGCTTAGAATACAGCAAAAAAAATCATGGCTACTATGTCACACTGCAAGATACAGTGTTGCTCACAAAACAGCTGCTTGATCATGCCATAAGATTATCAATCTCTTAAACAATTAATAACTATGTTATTTGACGTTTGACTCAACAACTATATTCGGCTATGTTGTAGTTGAGAAAATTTTCCAAAAGTATAGCTTTTGAATTTTTGAAAAATGCGATATGGGAAAAGGTAAGAATACATTGAAAAAAGTTTGGATTTCCCATAGTAATTTCCATATAAACTTCAAATGGTTTGTGCCAAGTCAGTTTCTTATCAAAGGAGTTAAAATATTGGGAGACTTATCAGGACCCGATTTGAAACCGTTTGAGCACTGTGGAGTGGAAATGTCAAAATTTGCATCAGCCTATTGTGTATGATCTACTTTCTGGCAGCTTTGTTTATATATTTGTCGAGTTAATTTTGGAGTCAGTAAAGTAGAAGTCGATAAAGCAAAATATTATAGAGCATTGAACTATGATGTGCAAAGCTATTGATATCACCATTTGAGGCACATAGACTCCAAGTGCGTCACAATTCGAACCAATAGTGTTGAGGTATGGTTCAAAGCATAAGATTCACACATGAAATGGATGTGTTTCACAATAAGTGTCAAATTAAGTGTAAGACACATGATGATGACGTGTGGAATTTTTTGATTATACTACTCACACGGTCGATCAAACAACTGAAAATTGAGCCCAGTCATCTCTATTTCATCAAAAGTGAGCTGAATTTTCCGGACATTTCCAGTAAAAACTTCTCGAATATGAGTAAAATCCATGAAAATTTTAATTGGACTGAGTGAAGCCTCTTTCAATTCGCCTTATATTCTAGTAGTTTTTTCCTATAAATATCTGCAATTTTCAACTCAATTTTGAGTAAATCCACTTTTTAGGAAATTGTTCAACAGTGCACAGTTATTAATTGAAAGCTTTCGGGATGTCGAGAAAATGTCCAACCCGAACCCGCCGTCTCCGGCTTGGCAATACTGACTAAATGCTGATTAAAAGTAAATTTGTACACCCCTCGCACGCCACTCGTGTTAGGAATCGAAAATCTTTGACAGTGGTTTGTTTACACTTCTATAGAGAGCAACTGGTGCAAGTTTGATCAAAGTAGTCGATCGTGTTCAGAAATAACGTCGAATGGAACTCGAAGGAAGAAAAAATACTGTGCACAAACACCTGGAAAATTCTTAGTGGTCCCGCTAAAGTACTGAAGATACCGAAAACAACAGTTCAGGGGAAACATGTCAGAAGGGTATAACTCGAAACGTAAACAATGACTTTGAACGTCGATTTCTCTTGAGTGACCACACATCCGCGGAATCTGACTACACCAGCTCATAGAACGAACATTTCTCTGTCAGATGATTTAGTTAGTTTGAGTGGGTGTGTTGTCATTCGTAAGAAACCGACGATCCAAGTCATTGTTTACGTTTCGAGTTAGACCCTTCTGACATGTTTCCCCTGAGTTTGTCGA